CCCGAGGGAGCCCGCCGCGCCCGGCCAGCAGGCCACGCCCCGAGGCGGAGTCCCGCCCCAAACCACGCCCCCTCGCGCTCTCAGGGTGACTTGGAGCGCGGACCTGGGGAGGCGCTGGAAAGCCCACACCTCGCTGGTTGATGCTCTGGGGCACCAGCTCAGCTCAGGCTTGCTGGATTAGGTGAAAGCCTCATTGTTCATTGTCTTTATATTGGCTTCATTTCAGCCCTGTGCAGAAGTTTGATCTGCAGACCTGTGATCCCAGCACTTGAAAAGTGGATGGGTGCAAGAGGATCAGGAGTTCAAGGTCTTCCTCGGATAGGGTAAATTCTGGGCCGTAGAAGATCCTGTCTCAAAACAACACACACCGCACACAAAAATGCTCATCTTTGAGTATTGGTGATCTGGGCACTATGGGGGAACGTGTGGAGTCAAGTCCAAAGAGGTTTATGGAAATTGAACACGAATTCCCCCAAAAGGAAAATAATTCAAAGTGGGACATGGTGGCTCTCACCCTTGATCCCAGATCCCAGCACTCCAGAGGCAGAGGCAGATGGTTCTCTGTGAGTTCAAACATAGTCTGATCTACATAGCAAGTTCCAAGTCAGCCAGGGTTGCATGTGAGACCCTGTCCGGGAAATCTCTCATGAAGTGGGTTACTGGCAGGCATGGCCCACAGCTGTGGCATTCATGAGTTTTTGCTGAAGGCTTCTCATCCCGGCTTCAGCAAGGGGCTGGAATGAGGTGAAAAGAAGGGTGTTTTTGTTTTTCCGTATCTTTTCTAGGGTTCTATTGATTAAAGTGTAGAACACACTGGGTCCAACTGTGTATTTATTTCCCTAACACTCCCACCCACCTTCTAATTACTTTGAATAAATACAGGACAAAGTCTGTCCAGAAAAAGGGACTAATGGAAAACAAATACACAAACACACAAACTCTACTGGGCTTGTTTATGCATGCCTGTAATCCCAGTTTTCGATTGAGGTAGGAGGATCAGTTCAAAGCCAGCCTGGGTTACACAATGAGTCTGGGTCCAACTTGAGCTACATGAGACCCTGTCTCAAAAGAACAGAAAGAAGTTGGGCTTCCCAGCATGGATAGTGGTGCACACCTATAATCCCAGCTATTTGGAAAGCTGAGTAGGTAGGTCACTTGAGGCTAGTTCAAGGCCAATCTGAGCAGTCTCCACTAATACAACAAAATGAGGCTCTAACTTTGGCTAGATGCTAGACTGGGAAGGAATCCCAAGCACACTAGCTAAGTATTCTACCACTGAGCTACATCCTCCCGGACAAAGTGTTATCTTACCTGGGAGAAACAGCTGTGACAGGAAGATCCCCCAGCAACAGGGACAGCTCAATTCTCTAGCAACAGTCACTGGTTGTAAGGGACATGTATGTGTCTCCTCTTAGAGGTAGTTGATGAAAAAGCTCAACTATACAGTGCAGAAGGGTTTGTCTCTAGGTTCCTGGCTTTTGACCCCTACAGGATGTGCAGTCAAAGTATAGGAGCCTATTTTAGTCTAAGACACCCCCCTACACACACACACACACACTGCCCCCATCACCCTACCACACCCTGTTTTGTTTTTAGTAACAAGATTTCATTCAATAGTCCAGGCTGGCTTTGAACTTGCATTGATCCTTTCCAGTGTTGAGACTACAGATGTAAGCTATTACACCCCCGCTCCCAAACCCAGGCTCTTGTTTATTGACTTTTATTTTTAATCAGTGTTTTGCTTTCAGGGATGTATGTGCACCACATGCAATCCTGGTGCTTGTGGAGGCCAGAAGAGGGTGCTGGATCTCCTGGAACTGGAGCTAAGGATGACTAGGAGCCACCATGTGGGTGCTAGGAACCAAACCCCAGTCCTCTGCAAGAGCAGCAGGTGCTCTGAATGAGCCATCTCTCCAGTTCCCTGTTCCCATTTATTTTTAGTGTATTTTTAGCCCAGTATAATTCTAGTACCCAGGACACTGAGGCAGAGGGTTCAAAGTTCAAAGTCAGCTGTCTTAGAAGTTTCTGAGGAAATCGCCAGGACACTGAGGCAGAGGGTTCAAAGTTCAAAGTCAGCTGTCTTAAAAAAAAAAAAAAAAAGAACAAAATATAAAATGTATTTTTAAAAGTTTTTCTGAGACATGGCTGTCCACCGTGCCTGGCCATAAAATGAATTTTTAAAAGGTCCTGGAGCTGGGCAAGCCTTTAATCCCAGCACTTGGCAGGCAGACACAGGTGGATCTCTGAGTTTAAGGCCAGCCTGGTCTACACAGCAGGTTTCAGGACATCCAGGGCTACACAAAAAGAACATGTCTCAAGAAATAACAAAAAGTCTGTTCTGCTAACGGAGCATATCCTAAACCTTGACCTTGGAATCAGAAAGAAGAAAACACAGCATAAGACACGACCCCAATCTACTCGCTTTATTGCAATGGCAAACAGGTTTACAGAGAGGGGAAACTCCAGTGGCAGGGTCACAGCATTCTGTGGTCAAGCCCACAGCAAGAGGGGCACAAACCCCAGACTGTTTGGTGTTCTGGTAACTACAAGAGACCAGAGTGCTTACAACCTGGTTCCTCTGAGCGTCCAGTTACCATGGAGACAGCAGGCTTGGGCAGGTTCCCCCTGGGGAGATTCCTGGGGGATAAGTGGTTCAAGTTCTTGAACTAAACAATGAGACACAGTTGAGAGCCACGAGGGAGGGAGCCCACTTTTGGGATGGAGACAGTGTATTCTGAAATCAATGTGTCATCTTGACATGGGGGCGCTACAAGGAGCCAGGCCCCACCTTGAATTCATCAGACTACACACCCCAAACATTTCTGTGGGAATGCCATACACAGCTAAGGTAATGATCTACAGCTGCATCCTCACACCTGCCTCCTACCCAGCACCTTTTACATCTGCTGCACTCTGCCTTCCTGGGTAAAGCATTGGCACATCAGCCACCCCACCTTTAGCTTGGGTACCTTCGGCTGCTCTCCAGATGCCACGTGCACACTCCCACCCACCGCCTGGGTGGCCCCTGTTGTCCTGAGGTCTAGTGCCCACGTTGTGAGAGCCGCACTTGACTTCTGACTGTTGTGATACACTCATTCAAGCCTCCTACCTCACTAGTGAACAGCAGCAGCCACCGCCACCGAGGGCCACAGCCAGAGGCCCAGGCCCTGACCCACCTGCTGGCCTGAGAAATGCTGCTCCAGGCTTGAACAACTAGGATTCGGGGATCTGCAGTCAGCAAGAGGGGAATGGAGGAAGGGACCCCAGGCCCCAGGGCTGAGACGGCAGAGGCGTGCCTGTGTAGTGTGGGTTCCACCAGGCTGATGGTGAACGATGTTCTGGGAGACTTGGAGTCAACCGCAGCTCCTTTTGCCCAGAACCCAGCTCTTTGGTTTAGTAAGGCCAGCTGTGGCTCAGCCAACAGTGTAGTGTTGCTGAATCCTCTACTCTGTTACGTCCGAACGTATGGGGGGGGGGCGGTTTCCACCTCCTTGTCCCGAGTGCTTGGCCACCACTCCACTCCTCAGCCCCTCTACCTTGTCTCTGCTATGCTCAGTGGAATGGGGGTGTCTTTTCTCTTTTGGGGGACCTGCCACCAGTTCCCAAGTAAATCCCACATGGCGGCTTATTCTTGGTTATAAAGGTCCGGCCTTAACTTATCCCACCTTCCTTTTGCCTCTAGGCTTTTCCCGTTCTCTTACTTCTGTAAATCTTACTCTTACTCTGAGGCTTGCTGTGTAGCTGGGCAGCTGGTTCCTGAAGTCTGCCTCCTTCTTTTTCCCATATTTCTCCCTCTCTTAATTCTTTCTGCCTTCCAGCCCCACCTGTCCTTTCTCCTGTTTCGCTATTGGCCGTTCGGTTCTTTATTAGACCGTCGGGTGTTTTAGACAGGCACAGTAACACAGCTTCACAGAGTTAAACAAATGCAACATAAACAAAAGTAACACACCTTAAAATAATATTCTACGACAGAGTGTATCTGACGTGTCCATAGGGACAGTAAGCAGTCACGTGTGCAGAACCCGGCTAGGATCAACCGCACACTTATTTGCAGGGTGGTCAGGTGCCCCATTCTTGATGTCTAGTGACTGGGCGGCACCTCTGGAGCTGGGGGAGAACTAGGAGAGCTGATTTTTCCATTTGAGATTTCTGCACCCGCCAGGCGACTGGCTTTGTGCCTCATTCTGCCCCCTGGTGGCAAAGAGATCTCTTCTTTGGTTGCTTGTTTTAATTTCATTTTTTAATTTGTTTTGAAATAGGATCTCACTCAGCCCAGGCTGGGCCTGAACTTGCGATGTAGCAGAGGTTGGCCTTGAACTGATCCCCTTGCCTAACTTCCTTTGCTTTGTGGTCCAGGCTAGTCTTGAATTCTAGAGCTCAGCTGATCTGCCCACGTTAGCTTGCCAACGGCTACTGCACTGCTGGCACACCATACCCAGCTGGTGTTTTATTAAATTTTTAAAAACATTATTTTTTAGACAAGCTCTGCTATGTTCCTTGGAAGACTAGGAACTCACTTTGTAGACCAGGCTGGCCTCTGCCTCCTGAGTGCTGGGATTAAAGGCGTGTGCCACCATGCCAGCTATTTTTTTAAAGATTTATTTTTATAAATAAATTTATTTCATTCAAGTATTTTGCCTGCATGTGTGTATGTGTCCCGTGTGTGTGCATGGTGCCTGCAGAGGTCAGAAGAGGATCTCCTGGAACTGGAGTGCATGAGCTACCAAGTGGATGCTGGGAACCAAACCCAGGTCCTCTGCAAGAGCAGCCAGTGCTCGTCACAG